GTGCCATGTGAAGAGATGGCATCGTTAAGTCAGAAGTTCATCTTCCTCTTCATCTCTCACATCCTAAAGATTGAAATCTGTTTTGCAAGTTGATGTCATTTCCCCATAATTTTCTAATGTTTTCTCCCACTCCAAATCCTCAGCTGTTTTTATTTGCACATAAACTCTTACTGTTCTCAAACTTCTCTGGTTTTCCCACAGTCCTGGAGTTAAACGTTAGGTTCCAGTAGAGTCTTTTCCATGGTGGAGCTTTAGATCTTTTGGTAGTATGTAGTCTTTCCAAGTCTTCAGTGATGCTAGGGCAATGAATAGTTCATGAAAAATAAATAAATCATTTTCCTTACTTCATGGTCTTCACTAAAATCAAGTTCCAAAGCACCCAGGATCTAAAGTTAGATCATGAAGAAATGGAAGATGAACCCAGGGAGATAGCTGACTGGCCTGGGGAATGTGGCTTGCAGGAGGCCCAGGTTGATCCCTGTACTGCATTAGTACCTTGAGCCCCACTGGGTGTATGACCCTAAGTACTACCAGGTATGATTCCCCAGGCTCATTTCCCAAAGAGATAAAAAAAAAAAATCAAGACCAGTCCAGAAATGGAGGAAAATATCTGTGAAGCAAATACAAATAAAAAATGTGTCCAGAATTTACAGTGGATTTGTTATCATTGCAAGCTAATAAGAAGAAAAGTAATCTATTTTAAAAAATTGGAAATAGGAAAACTCATATTTATGCATCTCAAAAGTTACTCTTAGATATGATCCAAGCAAGATGAAAATGGATGTTCTTTCAAAGAATGTTTTGTAAATGATCATAGTGAGGTTTTGAAAGAACGTTTTTAATTTGGTGAGCAAACATAAAGTAGTATGATTTTGCAATGGAATTCTGCTTAGGAGTCGAATCAGCTCACATAATAGCATGATGACCCTTGAAAACATAGTGCTGAAGAAAAAATATGGAAGGAAGAACTACATCTGCAATTTCGTATTCAGTCTTGTCTTTCCTAGGTAAATATAGGAAACAGAGAGATAGAAAGCAGATCAGTCTTTGTCTAAAGGTAGGGGTTGTGATTGCTTCCAGGCAGATGATGGCAGACTCCTAACACTGGATTGTGATGGTTGCATTATTGTATCACCTTACTAAAGCTCAGTGACATGATGCCCTTCAAATGGGTGAATTTTATGCTATATAAATTATGACCCAATAAAGGTGCTTTAAAATCTTCACTGTAGGAGCTAAAGAGATGGCTTCCACCCCCCACTCCCCCCCCAAAAAAAACCCAAAACCCCACAAATGAAATAATTCAATGCAGATGAAAATTCCTTGGGTCTGGGCAGGGTCTGAAAGTTTGCATTTTTGTTTGTTGCTCTTGACTGATCTTTTAAAATCAGCTCTTAGTTGTTTTTAAGTATTAGGATCTTTCAATACTGGTGAAGTACTGCTGGGTGAGGACTCCTTTGACTCTCTTCTGGGGTCCAGGGGTTTGCTGGGTCACACCTAACATGCCTAGGGGCTACTCCTGGCTCTGTGCTCAGAAATCCCTCCTGGCAGGGCTCCGGGGATCATCTATGGTGCTGTGACCAAACTAGAATTGTGTTGCCACAGTCATCGGCACTGTCTTGCTGGCTCCTGAGAACCCAGCTTGAATAGAAGGTGACTTTCAGCTCATCCCTGGCAGGGCTTTCAGAATCACAGCCTGTCCCTAGAAACTAAGCTGGAAAGCCCTTTAGGGAACTTGATGTACCTTCAGATTGAGAACCTACATCAAATGGGACCTTTTTCATAGAACATAGTGTGGGGTTGGAGAGATAGTACAGTGGGTAAGGCACTCGCCCTCTGTGAATGTGGTTTGTATTTCATCCCTGCATGGTCCCCTGATCCCTACCAGGAGTGACCCTGAGCACAGAGCCAGGAGTAAATCCCAAGCACTGCCAGGGATGACCCCCAAACCAAACAACAAACACCCAGTGAGTGGGAGGTAAGCTTCTGTCTGTCTCCCTTATTTGCATCCTGAAGGCCCCAAATTATGATCAGCATTTCATGGAAGAACCAGGAATGACTTGTTTGGGATTATTTTCTTGCACATACCTAACATGACTCCTGACTAAGAATGAGAGCAGAAGGTGGAGAACTTGAGCAAGAGCAGTAATAGCTGCAGTATTCTGAACAATTCCAGTGTGCCATGCACTTCACAGCACTTCATTTGTGTTCTTTATTCTCTTGTTTGACACTGAAAGGTCTGTCCTGTGACTTCCTTCTCATCAGAGAACCAGTGTCATCTCTAGAGGTGACAGAAGCTACTCAGAAATCTCACAATCATAGAGGCAGGCTGTGGGAGTGGGTCAGAGGGTGGGGGGTGGCGGGAGGGAAACTAGGGACATTGGTGGTGGGAAATGTGCACTGGTGAAGGGACGGGTGTTGGGACATTGTGTGACTGAAACCCAATGATGAACAACTTTGTAACTGTGTATCTCATGGTGATTCACTGTCACTGTCACTGTCACTGTCCTCCTGTTGTTCATTGATTTTCTCGAGTGGGCCCAGTAATGTCTCCATTGTGACACTTGTTACTGTGTTTGGCATATCGAATACCGTGTGGGTGAGATACTCTCAGTAGCTTGCTGGGCTCTCCAAGAGGGACTGAGGAGTTGAAACTGGGTCGGCCAGTGATTCAATTAAAAAAATGAAAAATCTCAGCTAGGAAGTACATGCCTGGGATTGAAAATGAGGTCATTGGACTCCAGAGTCTAGAGAACCTGACACCAGCACACATCTCCTATAATCCCCCCTTTCTTGTCTCTTGACCTTGAGCCTCACAATCATGACTGATGTCCTGTCCTTGAAAATGGAGCCAGTCCCCACCCAAATTTTAGACTCCTATTTTATTAGTCTATTGTAACCCACCCAAGCCTAGTAAAGATTGTTTTTGTGCCACAGAGACGTAGAGCTGTTTGGGGGCTGGGGTGATAGTACATGCAGCAGGTAGGGTGCTTGCTTTGCATGCTGCCGAACCCGTACGGTTCCCTCCTCAAACCCTGCTAGCGTGATCCTTGAGCACCCCTGATTCCCCCCACCTCCCCCAAACAAAACAGAAAGCCTAGTGGTCCTCTGGAGCTTACTTATTTGGATTGCTTGAGCTAAAGGAGGAAGATAAGACACACCAAGAAAGTTTTTAATTCCCGTTTTCTTCTCTTGAGGGCCCTAACCTCCTTCAATCTGATCTTGAGTCCTTAATCCTTCTGTTCCTCTTCCCTCTTGAAAGATAGAGGAAATTCTTGATGCTCCAGTGAGATTAAGCAGGGTGTTTAACCAGTTAACCACATGTATTTAACCTCTGTTATCTCCCTCACCTATTTAAAATGGAGATTGGGTTTTATTAAAGCTGCAGGCAATGTTAATGCCTTAAATATTCTTTGTGAACATAATGTTTTTCAAAGTCCAGTGTCAGGAAGGTGCATTGTTAATTTATCACCGGTACTCTTAGTCTTAATATGCTGAGGCATACTTTCCAGGGCAGAATTAATCTTTGTTCAGATCTGTATCAGCGATACCATTGGTTTTTATTACTTTATAAAAATGTTCGTGTGATTGTTTCCGAGCAGTGCTCCCCACCTACCTTTATTTTCAAGTATCTCTTCAGGATAAATGAGGAGGATACGAAGTACTGAGTGCTAGTATTAAAGCAAATGCGAAGGGAGATGTAAGCCACTGCTGTTTGGAAACTAACATGTTTGGAAACTAACAAAGATGTTTAATTTGATTTCTTTTTGGTTCTGAGTGAAGTGAATTTAAAGGAAAGCTCAGTACAGAGAATATTATTTGGACCTTCTTTTAAAAGTGCAACTTTGTGGAGCAGTGAAGAAAACCTTAGCCTCCAGATAATTTGATGTCCTGGTGACTTTTGTGATAGGTGGGAAGTCTGATGAGAGTGCAGTCAGAGGAGAAAAATGTGTGCACTAGTTTGCTGAAGTTGCTGTAACAAAACACCCCTTACTTCATGGCTTACACCACACACTGACTCTCACAGGTCCCATCAGAGGCTGGCAGTCTGAGATCCCAGCACTGCTGCGAGTGCCCTGTTTGCCCTGTGTCACCTCAGAGATTCTGCCCCAGCCCCCAGCCCCTGCATTTCTCTGATTTTACAGACAGTCTGGAGTTCCTTGTCCTGGGCAGTATAATGTTATACTCAAGTCATTTCCCGGTCTATGCATCTGGGTGTCAGTTTCTGTTTTTTCCTGAGGGTTCCAGTACAGTTCTAATCTACTCCCTGCTTATACTGAAATGGCCCTGTTTCCACATAGTGTCACCCTGAGACGCTCCAGAGTTAGAACTTTGAGATGTGAGTTGTAGGGAGATGCGGTTCAGTTATTTGGTAATAAAAGAAAAAGCAGAGGTAGGAATGTGTGCTCAATAGAACTGGACCTAGAGTGACTATTCCATGAAAGTAGCCAGTTATAAAAAACCCTAAAATAGGCAGTTTCAGTTACAAACGTATCCAGGATAGGAAGATTCAGAGTGATATCAGGGTGGGACCAGGAAGTGACCGATAATTTCTGTGATGGTGATGAATGTGTTCTGGAGGTAGGTATTGGTTTGTTGTAGATTCCTTTGAAAATACTAAAAACTAAGAACTGTACTTTCCCTGTAAAGAGCTGTATTTTACAGTCCGTGAAATACTTTCAACTCTGTGTGCGCTGAGGTGCTGAGAGGGGGGTGGGGGGGGAATGGAGGTAGCTGGAGGTAACTGCAACGGTTTCTTTGAGGCATTTTCTTTGGAGATGTAAAACAAGATGGCATTATAGAAGGAAGAGAATGAGGGGTCAAGCAGAATTATTTCAGTAAATGACAGAAGATATTACAGCATTTTAACATATTGATTCATGTAACCCAGTGAAAGTGGCAACACAACTATTATGGGGAGGCTGGAGGGGGTTTTCAGGAGCCCAACCCTTGTCCCCAGAGCACCAGCTGAATGGAGCTTTCCTTGTCTCTTTCTCTAGGTGACAGACCAGTCAGTGAAAGCATTTGCTGACCATTGTCCTGAGCTTCAGTATGTTGGTTTCATGGGCTGTTCAGTTACTTCCAAAGGCGTCATCCACCTAACCAAGGTAAGTGCTCTCGCTGCGTCTGCGTCTCATTTGTAAGCCCCGTTCCCATCATATCATGCCCTTGCATCGTTAAACACACTGAAGGGGGGAGGGGCCAAGAGATGATAAGACATGGTGGGATAAGCAGCTTGTCTGGGGTTGGCTGACCCCTCGTTCATTCTATTCCAGCATCACATATGGTCCCCTGAGCTCTGTCAGGGTCACTCCTAAACACAGAGCCAGGAAAGGTCCCTGAGCACTGGACGTGGTTCCCCACACAATGCTGTGAATGAGGAAATACTTGAAGTGTATTAGCTTGTGATAAAAAAAAAAATTGAGATTGGTTTAAGGCAACCAAAACCAAACCTTTCTGACATGGCACGCCTAAGCCACGGCACGGCAAACCTAAGTCAAAGCCTCCTAAACACTTGACCCACGGTCTCTGTTTCAGGAAAACAAACAAGAAAACCATCATCATCCCTTGACAATCTACTCTGCTGAAGGAGCAAACAGCGGGGCACCCTCCGTTGCATCCTCACTGCTGCTGTCTGTCCCACTCATCCTAGCGCCCCTTGGGGGCCATGTCTCCCACTTTGGGAAATAGGCTGTTAGCAAATACCTTTTCTTTGCTGATGGGCGTGAAAGATATGAACGAAACAAATACACGGGACAAGAATTGCTCAACGTCGAGTTAATACGTTGTATTTAAAAAATCTTTTTAATTGGCTTTTTTAAAAGAAGAATTTTGGCTCACACCCAGCTGTGCTCAGGACTTACTCCTGGCTCTGTGTTCAGGGATCACAACTGGAAATGCTCAGGGGACCATATGAAGTCTTGGGGATTAAATCCGGGTCAGCTGCGTGCAGGATAAGGTCATTACCCATTCCACGATCTTGAAACTCTCGATTGATGTTTTAACTGCTCATGTAACACTAGTTTCTTTGAACATTTTACTTTTGGTGGGTGGAGGGAGTTCGGGCCATATCCAGCAGTGCTTGGTGGCTACTCTCACCTCTGCTTAGGGGCCACCCCTGATAGTCTTGGTGGTGGCCAGGCAAGCACATGGTCCTGTGGATCAAATGGGGGTCAGCTGCATTCAAGGCAATTAACAGTATTTCTTGATTATGAAGTGAAGATGCCCTGTGCAGTGCATTTAGTTAAGCATAGGTGAGGCGAGGAGAGGTGATTGTCTCTGAAAAATTAACCTTTAAGCTAAGAGTTTTCTTACATGTCAAATACATAAAATTTTAGCAAAGATGAAAATGTTGATTCTTTTGTAATATCTCACTGTGTCATCACCACTTTTCAAGGTATCAATTAATTTGTAGGAGCAACTTCTTTCTTGCCTTTAATGGAAAAACTGGCTCATAAGCTTTAAACTGTGTAGTATCTGAGTTTGCAACTCCCCATGCACGGCTTAGGAGGGTGGATTTGAGCCTTGCCTCTTCGGTCTAAGCTCTGAGGTTTGTTTTCTTCTAACCCGCTTCATTTCTTAGGACCATGCTATGTTCGTAGCACACTGCTGAATAAAACAGGTATGATCCCAGGTCTCTCCACCTTGTCCCTTCAGGTCTCTTAAAGCTTATAGTTTAGTGGAAAGTAACACTTTTCAGTCTTTCCTAGGAAAAGAATACATGTTTGTGAATTCCCCAGGACTATGGCCAGAGGCCTCAGGGAGGGCTAGAGCTCTGCTGTCAGCTTACTTGTGATCTTGGCTCTGCACTTAGTAGCTAGATGGGCCAAGTATTTTTCAGTATATAATTAAGTGATATATGCAAAGTATTTGCCTCAATTTTAAGATCACAGTGAATGCTAAGTAAATACTCCCTACTAATATTAAAATTGATACTATGCTATCAAAATTGCGGAAAGTCAGAGCAAGCTTTGAGAAAACATGGAATCACTGCTGTAGTGTATCTGAAAAAGAGCCTGTGATTTTCTTATGTCTGATTAGCTTTAATTATCATCTGAGGATCACAGCCTAAGCTAGTGGAGAGGATCAGCCCGTTATTCTCAATTATTCCTCTATCAGAAAATTTCAGGCTAACCAAGACCATATGTGGCCATCCTTTTTTAAATTCATTTTCTATAACCTTGGCCTGAAATCTTGGTATAAGGATGTTTTTCTAGTTACATCTAATGCTTTTATGGGGTAGAGTAGAAATGCCTTTGGAGGAACAGATTGTGCACGACAAGTGTTATGACCATATGTGGGATTTTACGATCACTTGAAATTGTACTCATTAAGGACAAAACAAGACTTATTAGATCAGTAAGTGCTTCCCTGAGCATTTTGAAATAGCCAAAAATTATGGTACACTGGTACTTAAAAAGATCAGAATTATTCTCTGTGAAAAAATAGCAGCTACAGCAAATGTCTATGTTGGAAGGCTCAATTTTGCTGAGGAGGTTCTTAAGATCACAGGCCAAGATTGCTGGTTTGGCCTGTCAGCACTCAGAGTCTATTGGCCTCGTATCATAGCTGATCCACAAAGTTTTGAAGATCATCTTTGTTGCTCAGGAAAGTCTTTGATGAGAGGATTGGTCTATGGCAAAACGTTTCACTTCCCAAATTCAGGGAAAGTCAAGATGGCATTTTAAACGTGCCTAGGTTTTCTAAGTATGTTAATTGCTTTATCTCTTAAGAACAATGGCAGGTCTTATGTTTCAACAAAACAAAAACTTTTTGCGTAAAATGTTTGTGTTTTGCCAGTGTTCCATACTAAGGGTTATAGCAAATGTCATTTACATAGATTTTATATAAGTGCTTCTAGAAAGTTATCCTACTCTTTTTAGCATCATGCTGATAATTTGAAAACAAATGGGAAATGTGAGAGCCTGTTTGTTGAGCGCTTTTGATTTAAATATGTTTAATGTTCTATGTTCTATGTTTAATGTTTAATGTTCTATGGCTGGAGCGATAGCACAGCGGGTATGGGGTTCGCCTTACAAGCGGCCAACATGGCCGACCCGAGTTCAATTCCTCCGCCCCTCTCGGAGAGCCCGGCAAGCTACCGAGAGTATCTCGCCCGCAAGGCAGAGCCTGGCAAGCTCCCCGTGACGTATTCGATATGCCAAACACAGTAACAACAAAGTCTCCAATGGAGACGTTACTGGGCCCACTCGAGCAAGTCGACGATCACGGGAGGGCCTTTACCTTTACCTTTAATGTTATATGATTTAGAAATATCTACGTTATTACTTTATTAAGTGTCCCATGTGACAGGTGGCATAGAAATCTGTGTACCTGGAAATAAAAACTGTGCCTTAGTTTCCTGTGCATTTTCCAGGATTTAGTTCTCTCTCATTAGGGTTTGTTATTCCCAGAAGAATAAATGAATTTCGGAGTTGTTGGCCTAGTAGGGATTTTACAGTATTCTTGCTGAAATTAAGAAATGTCATGACTTTAGTATGATGCAGTCTGGGTTGGGCTTTGGTGAAAGAGTGTTCAGCCAAAGCTCAGAAGGACAGAAGACAGGGAATATTTGGGAGAATAGTATGATCCTGTCACTGCGGTCCTTTGAGCTAAATTTTACTTTGAATTTCTCAGCCTTAGTTAGACGCATAGATATTTTTATTATTTACTGACTTCACACCCTTTGTCTTCAGTTGGTATTAGGAGAAGAAATCTTTGTTTTTAGGTGTTAAACTCTATGAATATGAGTACAGGAGTAGGTAAGACAGAAAACAATGGTTGAGAAGATCAAGTCAAGTTTATCGACTGTTTTTGGTGCATGTCTGGGTATTTTAGTTGTTTTCTAAGAACCAATGTCGAGGACTTCCCTTCACCAGTGCACATTTTCCACCACCAAGAACCCCAGTCAACCCCTCCCCCAATCGCAAGCCTACCCCTCTACCCCTGCCTGCCTTCCTGTATGGAAGATAATTTCCACATACTCTCTCCTTACTTTGGTTACATTCAACATTTCAACACCAGTCCCACCATTATTATTTGGAATTTTCCCCCACCATCAGACCTGCCGAAAAGGCAAGGCTAGACAATTTGTTTTGTATTGCTGGGTATGAATATCATATGATGTTGTGGCCACGCAGTCTTGGAATTCTAAACTTTTAATAATTAGGGTCTGGAGAGATCTCTGCCAAGAACCGCTTGGTTCCGAGATTTGTTTGTGTGTCTCTGGGGTCATGGCCATCAAGGAGCTTAATAAGTAGCTGAAGGGGGGGGGGGGGGCATTCATGGGCAGGAAAGGAGAAGGGCCAGCTCCTCCCCTATCCCCTGAGGGCTGGTGTTTGCTGTTATTGCTGGCCCGTACCTGGGTTTTCCAATGAGTTCTGGAAGATGGTGGCTGCCGGGATTCCCGGGGAACAGGAGGAGGGATGGCACCTGCTCCCATCTGGAGTGACCCAGAGAAAGTGGCCTAATGCAAAGTCCAGAGGCATTTCTGACAAGAACTGTTCAGTGCTGAGATTCATTTGGTTGTCAGAAGTAATTCTTAATATTTAGTGGTTAGTCCTTAAATATCATTTAGGACGTGTCAGAATGACCCATAAACCTAATGTGAATCACAAAGGCCAAAACTGGGATATTTTGAGCATCAAAAAGGAAAAATTACTCCAAGGCATTAAAACAATCCCAATATATAAAAAGTTAAGAATGTATAATAATATCTAGAAACCAAAACAAAGATGTGCTTCTTTGCCTGACTATAAAGAAGTAACAAGGATTCAATTTATTCTTCCCAAACCAACATAAAAACTAAGATAGATATTAATATTAAACAAATATTAGGCAATCAACCAAATATTCTGTATTTTTGGAGAATGGTGGGCAGTCACACGTGGACCCAGCTTTGTGATCTGTGCTCTCTCCCTGGGGTGCCAGTAACGTGTGGTGTCGGGAGCAAATCCAGGCCTCCCACATGCAAAATATGCTCCCAGGCCTTCAAGCTCTCGGTCTAAGCTTATTTTAAAAACATTATCAGTAGAGATACATATTTGAATATTTACTGAGAAAATAGTACAATGTTTGGGATTTGGTTCAAAATATTAGAAAATGGATT